GGAGCCGCAGCAGCTTGAGCACGTTCTGCGCCAGGCTGGGCAGGGCGGCCGGAGCCGCCTCCTTGATGTCGGTGAAGGCCGACTCCAGCATCATCTCCAGGAGGCTGCGGGAGAGGGGCGGGGAGTTGGGGGGGAAGCGCAGGCGCCCGATGGGGCGGCCGGCTCCAAGGAACAACCCGCTCGTCCCCCCGATGCCGCACTGAGCAGGGGGGCTCCCGACACCCCCAGGCGCTGAGCACACAGCTGTCCGCTGACCCGCGTGTCCGTCATGCCACCTCTCTTCCTGGGGCCCACGTGACCCCCATGAATACAGCAACCGAGAGCCTCAAAATCCTCCACCCTGCTGCAAGGCAGGACGGTGTTGTCATCCCCATGTTACAGAGGGGAAACTGAGGCATGGGGAGACTAAGGGATGTGCCCAGGACCCCACAGGCAAGCGGTGGCAGAGGTGGGAAGTGAAGCTCCCCACATGTTGAGTCCCAGGCCAGCAGGTGCTTGAGAGGCAGTTTCTCTGCCAAGCACCAGCCCCCCCAGGGAGCGTCTCGGGGCCCCATGTTCTGCAGCCCCCCGGCCGGGGCTCTGATATTTGCCACGAGACGCTCGTGAACAGACGGGTTCGCTCCTTGCTGCTGGCGGCTTTTCCCCTCCACAGAGGCCCAAGGTCAAGTCCATGGCCGGGTGGCCACGCGGTGTGTGGGGACATCATGAAACGGGCCCCACTCATGGGACACACGAGGACCCCGAGCCGGGCACAGAAAGGGCCGGCCAGGAGAGAGGGGGAGCTCCGGGCCAGGATGGGGCGAGGGATATCGGCCGGGCCAGGAGGGGAAGCAGGAGGTCTGGGTTGGTATGAGCAGGAGGCTGAGTCTGGAGCAAGAGGCCTGGGGCCAGCTTAGTGTGGGGTGCAGGGCTGAGACAGCAAGGGCCGGGAGCGAGGGGCACGGGCCGGGCTGGGTGTGGGGCGCAGGGCCGGGAGCGAGGGGCACGGGCCGGGCTGGGGGTGGGGACGCTGGGCCAAGACAGCATGGGTCGGGAGCGAGGGGCATGGGCCGGGCTGAGTGTGGGACGCAGGGCTGGGAGTGAGGGGCACAGGCCGGGCTGGGTGTGGGGCTCAGGGCCGGGAGCGAGGGGCACAGGCCGGGCTGGGGGGGGGACGGAGGG